AATATTCAACACACTACATGAGTTATTTGACACTTTATTATAAATTAGGCTTTGTGTTAGATAATGTTTTGCCCAACTGTAGGCTAAAGTGTTCTGAGTGTGTTTAAGGTAAGCTAGACTACGCTATGATGTTTGGCAAGTTAAGTGTATTAAACGCATTTTTGACTTATAACATATTCAACTTACGATAGTTTTATTGGGATGTAATCACATCCCAAGTCAAGGAGCATCTGTAGTTGGTTTCCTTTGTATTTTATTTCATTCATTTAAAAATATCATTCTGATAAGGAGCTCATGTGGTTCACCAGACTTCCAAAAAGGTCTATGGCACCAAAAATGTTCAGAATCCCTATTTTATATTCCCTCAGCTATCACAGGCAGAGGCTGGAGCTGAAGTGAGGTAGAAATAGGGAGAACTTAGGAATCTTACACTCTCATCCCAGTTCCATCATCCACTTAGCTGTGTGACCTAGGGTATAGCTCTTCATCTGTTGAGGCTTCTGTCCCTTCTAGTTCACAGTGTGTTGTGAAGATTAAATGACATAATGCTTGTGCACAGAGTTGCTTTGAAAACACCTTAAAGCACCATATACCATATAAGGTATTTATTGAGGAATAGTAGCAAGTTGTGGTTTCAGAGGTCTGATGCTACAGAGGACTATTAATTTTAGGGTAGTCTCGTATTCAAACAGACTTGGAATAAATGCAGTAGGGCAGAACACTCTTTAATATGTCCTGTATACCATTCCCACCCAAGATCTGATGTCATCTCCATAGGGCTCTATAGCCTTGACTGCTCACACCTGTGTGTAATCAATTCCTTTTCTTTCCTTCTGTTGCCTCAATAATTAATTGCTTTAGTATGTCTTTGAGGTCGTTCTCCCAGATAGAAAACTTAGGCAAGCTTAGACCTTCAAAGCTACTGTCAAACTGAAAAACTGGGAAGATGTTACGGATCATGGGAAATGGGAGAGGAGATACAATCTCCTCGGTCCTCTTTAATGGAATGTGGTCTATCCTGTAATGGGAGTGAGTAGAATTGGAAGGATACTGAGACTATATCAGAAGACAGTAGAAGGAAATTTCCTGGCTGTGTTTGGCTTGGGCCAGGCTACTTAACTCTAATGGAGCATTGTTGAGTAAAATCTCCTGAATTTCTCTAAGCCAGCAAGTCTCCTTCTTTCAAGTTATTGTGTGGCCTTATGGGATCCCCATTGCTATGAAGGTAGCTCTGGTGTTATTAAAGCATTGTTGATATGATTATTGGTTGGATAATAATTATAGCTATTTATTGAGCACTTACTTTGCCAGGCATAGTACTGGACACTTTACATTGATCAACAACTCATAAATGAAACTTCCAGAGAGATATACTCAGATTTTCACTTGATAATTTTAAAAAAGGCTCAGAGAAGTGACAGTGCTATAAAGCGAACTGGGGCACCACGACTGTGTCATTTAGCAGGCTCCCCTACCAGAATGTAAGCTCTTGAGGGAAGGGGTCATGTTGTGCTCACCTTTGAATTTCCAGGACTAAGACTTGCACATGTCAGGTGCTCTATAATGGCACCTCAATGAACAATATGGGGTTAATAATAATATTGTCAATTAGGCTGATATGAAGATTAAATACAATACTGGAGCAGTGGAAAGTTTTGACCTTGTAATTGAAGAGACCAAATTTCATCTCTGCCTCTTAAAAACTTAAGCAAGTTACTTTACATCTCCAAGTCTCAGCTGAAATGGAGGCTAACACATTTACTTTTCACATTGTAGTAAACATTAAATATATATGTATGTGTGTATATATATGTGTGTATATATATATATATATATACACACATATATATGTTTACACACACACATATGTATATGTATTTCTTGGTAAGTAGGAATCACTTACATATGTATATCCTGGTAAGTAGGAATCACTAAATAATATTAGCTTTTATTATTAGTGCATATGAATGTAGTTTATTTATTTTTATTTTTTTGAGACAGAGTCTCGCTGTTGCCCAGGCTGGAGTGTGGTGGCATGATCTTGGCTCACTGCAACCTCCGCTTCCCAAGTTCAAGTGATTCCCCTGCCTCAGTCTCCCATGTAGCCGGGATTTCAGGTGTGCATCACCATGCCCGGCTAATTTTTGTATTTTTTTTAGTAGAGACAGTTTCACCATGTTGGTCAGGCTGGTCTTGAACTCCTGTCCTCAAGAGATCTGCCTGCCTTGGCCTCCCAAAGTGCTAGGATTACAGGCGTAAGCTACTGTGCCCGGCCTGAATGTAGTTTAAAATGCTACACAAATACTCATGTAATAAACCTTTACTAAACAGCTACAGAGTACCAGTTTCTGGAGATATGGCAGTAAAGAAGACAAACGAGAACCATACTCTCATGTAACTTATACTCTGGGGGTAGGGTGGAGGCATAGATAGTAATAGTACAGGTCTCAAGAGCAAGAGATCATTACTACCTTATCCACACCATTCGTGGGTGGTCAGAACTGAATATTTTCACAATTAGCTTTTATGGCTTTGGCTGAAGATCTAAGTTCAGTGTGTCGCAGCTACCCTTCTAGCTTTCTGAAGGCAGGGGCCAGCCATACTCCTTTTATGTCCCATTGTGCCTGATAGTGTTTCGGACAGAGTAAATGTTTGGAATATGTTTAAACAGATGAATTTCATCTCTTGAAGTCCAGAAACATGATGTGGCCCCACAACTGTATGTATGAACACAAAAAAACTTTTTTTTTTTTTGAGACAGAGTCTCACTCTGTTACCCAGGCTGGAGTGTCGTGGTGCAATCTCAGCTCACTGCAACCTCTGTCCACTGCAACCTCTGCCTCAAGCGATTCTCCTGCCTCAGCCTCTTATGTGGCTGGGATTATATGTACCCGCCACCACACCTGGCTAATTTTTGCATTTTTAGTAGAGATGTGGGTCTCGCCATGTTGGCCAGGCTGGTCTTGAATTCCTGACCTCACGTGATCCACCTGCCTTGGCCTCCCAAAGTGCTGGGATCACAGGTGTGAACTACTGCTCCTGGCCCACAAAAACTTTTTTTAAAAATGTGGGTAAGGTCATGAAATTTGGCTGAATCACAATCATAACTCTTACTGAGAACTCACTATGGGCCAAGCACTGGGTGAACAATTTGCGGATGCTACCTTGTTGACTTTTACCCATCACTCTGTGAGGTAGGTACGATTTCTTCTGAATTTTGCCTGTAAGGAAATTGAAGCCCTTGTTGTGTCCATGTAACTCGCCTGAAGACACACAGACAGAGGCTTTGGGCATGATGACTACCTGATAGGTGCTCAGCAGATGGTAGCAATTGTGGTAAAAAATGAAGCCATATCTACCTGATGTATCATCTAAGACAGCTGAGAATCCCAAGAGCTCACACTGTTCTACCGGACAAGTTAAAAGTTCTTGCACATTTATGCTATCTTTTCAAATAATAGTTTATTCTGCCTTATGTGAAAATTTGGGGCCCAAATTTAAAAATACTCTGTATAACTTGAATGCAGATATGTCTTTAATTTTCTATGAAAAATAACTCATTTGCATTGAAGATATTTAACAAGCAACTAAAGTCGGAATTAGAGATGTCACAGGACTAGGGAAGGAAATGAAAAAATCATTAGTAAAATAAAAGAAAGCTCCTATTCATTATTATATTGAAGAAAAGCTAACTACTGTATCTCATAAACATAACAAAACAGCAATATTTCAAAATTCTGGAGGAACAACAGAACCATAAATAGCACTGAGACTTTGCGGAAAAAGCAGCTTCATTAATAGATTTCTATGATGGATGAAAAGGTTTGTGAGATAGTGTGTGCCACAATTTGATTATGTAATATAATGCATATTCATATCTATAGATCTCTATATATCTATGCTTATCTATATATAGACATATATGAGAGAGATCTATTTATTTTAGGGAATTGGCTCTTGCAGTTATGGGGGCTGGCAAGTTAGAGATTTGTAGGGCAGGCCAGCAGGTTGGAAGTTCTGGCAGGAGTTGGATGCTGCAGTTTTGAGTCCAAAGACAGTCTCGAAGCAGAATTCCCTCAGAGAGGACTTCAGTCCTTTCTCTTAAGGCCTTTAGCTGATCTGATGAGGTCCACCCACATTATAATGGGTAATCTGTTTTACTCAAAGTCTACCAGCTTAAATGTTAATCACATCTAAAATATACCTTCACAGAAATATCGAGACTGGTGTTTGACCAAGCAACTGGGCACTATAACCCAGGTAAGTTGCCGCATAAAATTAACCATAACAACTACTATATTCAAGCAAAGTGGGACGAGTATACCTATACTAAATTGGCAGGAGTAACAGAAACAGACAATCTGCAATATAAGTTGATTAAGTGAAGGAGAGTAAGGTGTTTAGGTGTGGCAGCTATTGCTTTAAAACATTTTTTTAATGTACTTATATCATGGTAAGGAGTTTGATTTTTTTTCTTTTATTTTTTAAGTTCTGGGGTACATGTGCAGGATGTACAGGTTTGTTACATAGGTGAACATGTGCCATTGTGGTTTGCTGCACCTATCAACCCATCACCTAGGTATTAAGCCTGGCATGCATTAGCTTTTTCCTAATGCTCCCTGCTAAAAATTAATGTAATTTATTGAAACAAGAAATAACTGATAAGTGGAAAGTTTCCCTTGATTTCATAGATACTATTAAAATTAGGTATTCCAAGAGCTCCTGAGACTGATGAATCAAAGCCTTCTGTAGCATTGATGAGAGATGCATCAGTGAGAAAGCTAGTGTAAAATTAACCCTAGCTTCCCGCTGGTGCCACAGCAGGGTGCTTGACGGGAAAGCCAATTTTCAGCATGAATGGGCTGCTGTGGAACCCTATTTCCAGTTGTCAAGGCAGAGTTGGAATCTTTTTCCAACATCCTAGTAACCCTAAGGAAGAAATTGAGATGATCCACTAATGGATTACATAGAGAGTAAGTTATTAAAAACAGAACACAAAACTGAGGTATAAAAAGGAATATTTATCTTTTAAAAATACAACTTTGAACACGACTGGCATCTCATTTACAAAGTATTTTCGTGACATACTCTCCATTGGCTTTGCTTACTCAGTACATTCTTTTATCTTCAATTGAGACTCGAGGGAAGGCATACTTGCATTATTTTACGTACCACAACCACCGCCACACACAATAAAGACCATCTCTGTTTCAGGATATTCACCTCAAACCTCCATCCTCTCCGTTTCCCTTCCACCAATCAGAAGTTACTGAATGGTCCACTCAAATGCTGTCATTGCAATTTGCCGACGGACACTACAGAACTGGAGATGTCTCTGGCAATCCGCACTCCAGGTGGAGCTGACGTATTTGTAGGAAGCCTCACACATCCTGGCTCATTATTTATTTCATTGATTCGTAACTATTAATACTTATATGAAGTCTTCGCAAACATTCAGCATGAAGTAAACATAGTATTTACAGCAGTACACGGTTTACAATTCAATACACTGACAACAGAAGCAAAGGGACCAACAGACTGTAAGAGGCCAGAAGGGAAAGAATATTAACATAAATCCCTTCTGCCACTGTGTGCGTGCGTGCGTGCTGTTTGTGCCCACACATGAGTGTGTTTTAATTCACAGAAAACTGAACATGCCCCCCTTTTAAAGCAGACTATTTACAAGTGATTCTGAATAGCACAAACACATGCCAGTCATACTGGATACCTGCTTTCTGCAAACACATCTAGATGTACGTTTCACAATTCTGAAGCAGATCTTTAATGTGATATGTTAGAGAAAACAACTTTGGAACACTTGTCAACTTTTGGTTCATAGTAATTTTGCAAAAAGCCACAACCATGCTTTGTCATTTAAAAGGTGAACCCAGTCAGGCACCTTCTAGAAACACTGATGTGTTGTTTATTTACTGCTCTACTGGGGATTGGAAAGACAATGGCAGTTACACACACGACTTAAAGCTGCTCTCATTCCTTTCGCCAGTGGCAACATTAATGTAAAGAGAAGTTTAGAAACACAAATCACATACAAATCATCAAAACATTTCAGTTAACAGTGTTTAAAAAAATACCAAAGTCTACACTAGTGGTACAGACACTGAAAACACTACAAATACTGTTTAGCCTCAGGACTTTTGCAATACCTAAAGACAACCAATTGACAGAAAGGGGAGGAAGTTACAGCACTTGCGGTTTGAGGCAATTTCTCTTTAGGGTCTGTAGCTTGAGGTGCTGTCCTAGGATCCTTGTTTTAACTTGAAAGATTTTCCAGGAATGAATTGACAAATTCAAAGCAATTTCTACTCGAAAATCATTAAAAATACAAATCACTTTCTACGCTTGTGCAACACATATGTATATCTTCAGGATCCCAAGTTGTTAGGCAAAGTTGTTAGGTCAGTTTCAAGCCCTCAAAGCCACAGAATTTCCACCTCTTTTCCAGGCTGGCTCCAACTCCAGTCATTTCCTGCTTGAAGGTGTGCTGGAGTCTACCCATGAGACGCTCCACATCACTGGTGCAGATCTGTGGGACAGAGAGAACATCTCCAATCAAAACCACTTCTATTTTCCTAATCTTCTTTCCCAGTATTGCCTACTTTAGAGTGCTGATATGTCTGTGTATGTGTTGCAGGGGCATTTAACCTCCTCCCGCTCCTTGCTCATTTGTGTGTGTTGGCAAAGTGGCTTCCAGCCAGCAGTGTTCCTCTGCTGTGACCACCAGACAGGGTCTGCCGAGTTGCTATTGGAAAGAGATGAGGTCAGTCATGTGGAAAGGCCTGGGTTTGCAAGCAGCTGAATGATGGCTGCTCAGTGCTGGTGATGCTGTATGCAGATCCCCTGAAGCTGTTGAGACTTTTGGGAGGGGAGGAAGGTAGAAATGGCTGCCACCAGAGCAGAGTCCCTCACAAGTGCATTAGTTCATAATGGAGAAGTAACAGGAATGGGGAATGCTCTGTGTTCTTACTTCTGCGCATTATCTTTCTCTCCCTACTTCTCTCTCTCTCTCTCACACACACACACACGCACACGCACACACACACACACACGCACACACACACACACACACCCTCAATACAAAAACAAAAACAAATCTGTGGACTCTTTTAGGGCTTGTTTTTGGTGGTCATCTTTACACTAGTACAGTTAGTAAGTTACCTTCCTCACCGTGAGCTTTGGTACCTCAGGCTCTCTTTGGGAGGCCCTGGCACTACTCTGGCAGAAGTTGCTAAGTGGGAGCTAGGCCTAGGCTAGGAGCGCAGTCATGCCTTCTTCGCAGTGCTGGCAGTAGACTGTATCCAGTCAAGTGAATGAAGCACATTCCAGTGTATCTATCATATAGAGTAGAATCCCCCTTTCAGAAAACACAGATAATGTTTGTAGATATATACATTTAATATAGATACAGCATACTTCCAGGAAAGGGTCTGAAATATGTGCCAAATGGTTAACAGTGGTTATCCTTGAGGAGTGGGATTGTGGGTGGTAGCTTTAACTTTCCCTTTACTGGATTTCTATGTGTCTTACATTTTAAAGATAATGTGCATGTATTATTTTTGTAAACTGAAAAAGAAGCAGATGGTTTTTACTGACGTATAGCTCAATTTCATGCCATTGCAAAGGACTCTTGGTCCTAGTATTCACATTCCATCCTCCCCTTCACTGCCAAATGGGCTATTTAATTGCAGAATAGCATCACTTTCCAGAGGGAAATGAGGGGGCAGTGCTAGCTAGAATGAAAGCAAATGCCACTGAAGAGGATGTATCACCACAGCTGGGATATGGTTAGAACAATAAGATTCCCAAGTGGGCCACTGCCTTTGTTAAGATGACATATGCTTAAATGACTTAACATTTTGGACAGCACCTATATTCAATGACACTTCTCAAAAGGCCCAGATTCTATGAAATAGGCAGTACAATTTATGGGCAGATTTAACTGAATGCTGCTTCTGAAAAAAAAAATACATATCCTGAGCTGATTCATTCTGAGGAGTCAAGAGTCCTCTCTTGCCTCTTAGAGGCATCCTTGATTTCTTAGGGAATTAGCACTTAGCCCTGCTCCAGATGCCCTAGGAGTTCCCCCAAAGGATAGCATCCAGAGAACGAAATGGACCACAAGATCATCTGTGAGCAAATATTCAGTCTGTGGTGTACAGGCCCTCAGCTCATTGCTCCATCTTTTTTTTGTTTGTTTGTTTGGTTTGGTTTCCAGCCCCTGCCTCCCTTATATTGTAATAGACAACACCAGGGCTGATGGTGGGAGAGGTGGATGGAATAAGACTTCCCATTTGGAAAATGAACATTTACTAATGGCTAAAAACCCAGGACAAAAGTTTGGTGGGGCCTGGTGTGGTGGCTCATGCCTGTAATCCCAGTACTTTGGGAGGCTGAGGCAGGCGGCTTGCTTGAGTCCAGGAGTTCAAGACAAGCCTGAGCAACATGGCGAAACCCTGTGTGTATAAAAAATTCAAAAATTAGCCAGGCGTGGTGGCATGTGTCTCTAGTCCCAACTACTCAGGAAGCTGAGGTGAGAGAATTGCTTGAGCCCAGGAGGTTGACGCTGCAGTGAGCTGTGATCTCACAAATGCACTCTGGCCCAGGCAATAGAGTGAGACCCTGTCTCTAAAAAAAACGTCTGATGGGTAAGAAAGCTGATATGTGTTGGTTTGCAGCTTATAGGTAAATTAAGAGAAGAGAGGAAAAGTCTTCTAAGACGTATGTTGGAAATAGGACGGTCAACTTATTCAAGTTTGCCTGAGACTGTCCTGGCTTTAACATCAAAAGTCTCAAGTCCCAGGAAACCCTTCAGTCCCCAGCAAACCAGGACAAATGATCACCCCACTTGTAAGGACGAAGTTATACACTGAGTCACAGTGAGAGAGCAGGTGAGGGAAACTTCCTTAAGGCAGTAACTAATGACTCATTTATGCTTCAGGTCACTTGTTGACAAAGAACCCCACATCCCCTTGCATCCCCATTTTAGGCTCCCATATACCTTATTATCAAGACGTTGCAAGTAGGAACAGATGTATTCAATGCTTGCTCCAAATGGGTGAACATGAAGGAATGTGGAGATAATCCCTATAGAGACAAGAGCATGGAGGTTACACTTGAGCCTTGTATTCCTCGAGGTACTACATGACAGTGAATAGTAAGAGCTGACTCATACGTACAACAGAAATATACTGGATGCTATTCTAAGTGTGCCTATAATTTACTCATTTAATCTTTATAAGAATCCTGTGAGGTGGATATAGTCATCCCCATTTCATAGCTGAGGACAGTGATGCACTAAAAGTCTAAGCAACTCGTCCAAGGTCACAGAGCTGGTAAGTGGCAGAGGTGGTATTTGAACCCAGATAGTCACTGTTAACCACTACACATACTTCCTCTTACTGTGCTGTGTCATATGTAGACAAGCTGGCATTTGAGGAGTCACTTTCATTACTTGTGATGGCTAAACACCATCTGAATTCAAGGAATTTACAATGAGTTTACACTGTGCTGGGCTTTTGTAGTTCCTTCACAGTCTTCAAATTAGACTTTAGCCTCTTACGCGTTAATAACGCCTTGCTGTTGTGGTAAATGTACAAATCATGCACTTTCTTGATTAACCTTGTGCCTCTCACAAGAATGTTTGCTGATTGTATTTGGGTTTTATTTTGTGAGTAGCTCTGTAAAGAAAAGCCAAACATTTCGTTTATGACTAACTCAAGTGGTCACTAGCATTCTGTGCTTAGAGCCTCAAATCTCTTTATATAACAATATTCTTACAGCAGTTTACAGCCTCTAGGAATGCCCTTGATTTCCACTTAGCCTGACTCTGGGGTGACTGGCAGCTTCACATGCAGCCTTGATTGTTCTGGCCATCGGGTTAATTGTTCTAATACGTCGCTCTCTGGCAACAGGTGGAAAACAGAGTGCTCAAAAGCATAATATTTTTTTCTTTAAATTTTTTTGAGTTCCCCTCCTTTCATAAGATCTTAGGTGCATCAAATAGACCCAGAATTGAGTTTGCTAAAAATTGCCAGGAAATAAAAGCAAAATTTGATTTGGTTTCTCGACTACAACTTGTCTGTCCCTTTAAGAGGCCGACAAAGACGAGCACAGGTTTAAACTGTAGTTTTAAGTTCAGTCAGGAGGGTGAGTTGGGGAGAAGTTCCAGAAGGAACTGATAGCAGGGCTTAAAATCTCTTCAAAAGGGATGCTATTACTTTAACATGACTTTATTCTTAAATGACTAGGTATATTGAATTTCTAAACACGGATTCTGGCTGAGAAACTTGAATTCTGAAGAAGACAGTCCATGTTTGAAGAAATTCTAGATCTCCTGGCCAAGACAAGCTGTCAAATACCAAGAAATAACTGTGTAGGTTTAAAAACATTCAGGGATTTTGTGGGTTCATACCCAAAAAGTCGATTGAAAAAATAAATTTTCTTTTCTCTGTGCCAGCCCAAGATTACCTTCTTGAAAAAACAAAACAAGAAACACTTATTTTAAGAGTTTTTTCTGAGACTATCCATTCACACAGGCTTCCTTCTATCCACAGCATTTCTCTGACAGGTCTCCCTGTTGCCATGCCAATTTGTTAAGAACTTTGAGTTGGAAGACGTTAATAAGTTGTAATAAGTTGTCACTTTTCGTGAAGACTCAATGGCAGGTTCCCCTGTGCATCTTTATTAACATATCAAAGTGTTAAATCTGAGGATAATATCCATTACCAAAGCAGGCAGAGATATCTTAAAAATACGCAGAAGCCAGTCAGTGTGGAGGGCTTTTGAGACTCGAGTGAGGCTACGGTATAGCTCAGCTGCCTACAAGGCAACTGGGATTATCTGCTGCGGCCCAAGACCAGCCACTCTTAAATGATTAGCCCCTCCTAAATATTTTAGAGCCTCAATCTGCCACTGTTCTCCAAATGGAATATAAAGTTAGCCAGCATTTGTAAACAGTGCTATGAAGTGTAAAATGGTTACTACCTACTGAGGGCTTACTATGGGCCAGGCACTATACTAAGTGATGTAGGTGAGTCATCATATTTAATACTCACAACTGCCCTTTGAGGTAGGTAAGATCATTAGGTCCATTTTGCAGATGAAGAAACTGAAGCTCAGAAAAGAAAGGGTGGGGTCAAAATGGGAAGCCAGATCTGTCTGATTCCTTAACCGTTTGTGCCATCTTGTCTCTCTGAATGAATTTTTACAGAGAGCAATGCTAGCTTTGACCTCATCAAAGCCTGTTAGTGTCCAACACACTGCAGTCTCCTGAGTCATCTGCCATTGCGATATAATTAAAAAGTAAATATCTGGTCTTTGCCCCTGGTCCCTGGGACACATAGCTCCTAAAACCCTTGAAATTTCTGGAGTGGTAGGAGTTGAGATGACTGGTAACTGGGGGCCCCTTACAGCTTTAGAACTGGGGCTGGCCACCAGAAAGACTTAGGCGTGATTAGAGAGTTGGAACATCAGGGAAGAGAGAGGGGCTGGAGATTGAGCTAATCACTGATGGTCAGTGATTTCATCAATCATGCCTGTATAATGAAGCCTCCATAAAAACCCTGGAATGACAGGATTCAGAGAGGTTTCTGGTTGCCAAACACATCAAGATGCACACCCAAAAAAGGTAGAGAAACTCTGCATACCCCTTCCCAGTACCTTACTCTATGCACCTCTTCCATTGTAGCCTTTATATTGAATCGGTAAGAGTAAGTAAGGCACTTTCCTGAGTTCTGTGAGCCATTCTAGCAAATTATCAAACCTAGGGAAGGTATTGTGGGAAGCCCTGACTTTGTAGCCAAATTAGACAGAAGTAGAGGAAACGTGGAAAGCCTATATTTAAGACTGGCATCTATAGGGAGGGCAGTCTTCTAGGACTGAGCCCTTAAACCCATAGAGTCTAAGGTTAAACTAACTTTGGGTAGTGAGTGTGAGGACGGAATTAAACTGTAGGACACCCGGTCGGTATCGAAGAATTGGAGATGTGGTGTTGAAAAAGACACCATGTATCTAGTCTCAGAAGGTTAAAAAACAAACAAAAACTCCCTTATCACTTGGTCTCAGAAGTGCTGAAAAAATAGCCAGTAACCTGGAAAACTTCGAGAAGCATATACTTGCTCCAGAGGCTCTCTGGAAAAGCTCTTTGCCAAGTAGGGTCTGCACTAGCCCCTCAGTGGACATGAGAGGGCTTAGCTGTCCTTGCACAGAGATTCAAAAAAAATCTACAGTGTGTTTCTCCAACTGACCCCTTTTAGCACAGTGCTTGTACCGACATGCCTGACTGCTTGACATGGCAGTGGCTACAAGGAGTCTGAAGGGGGCTGGCAGCTGCTGTTAAATTTGGAAATTTGTGCTTGTTCTTAACCCATCATCTTCAGAACTCCGAGTTCTTGCGCTACTGTGCTTCATAAATGCTTGGCGTGTGCTTATTAATCTTAGGTGAAGCCCTCCCCTCCTCCATTGTACCTATGTGTTGTATGTGGCATGTGTGCATTAGCTTTCTTACCCACTAGCAGTGCTTCACGTTCAGATTTGATAGGACTGCTGTTCATGGTCTTCTCAAGAGGGTAGTCGCTGTCCTGGTTTGATGTACCCAGCCTAGAAGTACGGCTTTCCTGTGGAAATAACATGCTTCCTGGGTCAGTTCACTTTATTTGGCAAAAGAGTTGGCTTCAATTAATTACACAACAGGTAACTTAACACAGGACCATAAAAGCAATGCTGTTCAATTTGGATTACTGAATGGGAGGAAAATAGCATAAATTACAAAAGCATCACAGATATTTCAAACCTTTTTTATAGGGCTCCAAAACACAGAAACATTTAAACGTTTACCTTCACCAGCTTTTTTGTCCTGCCTTCATGTTTCTTGACTATACAAGCAATCTGGGCAACTAAACCCAACATTTATGGTATACTAACAAGATGCCAGGCACTGTTAGATAAGTATTATCTCCATTCTACAGATGAGGAAAATGAGGCTCAGGTAAATTGGCTAAGCTCAAACTGCAAGGAAGTGGAGCCAGGATTTCATCCCATTGTTAAAAGGACCTTTTTTTTTTTTTTTTTTAAATTTTAGGTCCACACTCTGTTAATGGTAAGTTCCACCTCAATGGAGAATCTACATTGGCTACATTGCCAATCCACTCACAGTTAATCAACTGTTGATTTTTGAAATAAACATTACAGCTTTCATTGACTAGCATCTCTTTCTTCTCTTTCTCTCTCTCTCTCTCTCTCTCTCTCTCTCTCTCTCTCTCTCTCTCTTCTCTCTGATAAGGACATTATCAGTTAGAATATTCCTGACTTTACAGCAAGAAATGACCATGACCAAAAATAGCACTAGTCAATGGCCTTCTTTGCTGTAGAAAGTTTTTCCCTTTCAGGGTGTAGCAGGAAGATTTCATAAGAGAAACTCAGGTGAATTCCATGACCAGCAATCAAACTGAAAAATACCTCCAGACCTTTCATAGCTGTTTCTTTCTTTCTTTGGGTACTGAGAATATCTTTTCTGTTATTATAAATGTGAAGGAAAAGCTTTCAGAAGAAGGAATAAAAGAAATCACGGCTTCTGTCTTTTACTGCTGAAAAGAAAATGCTGCTGAAATGCTCCTTGGGGGTCATATCATGACTGATTCAGATGCATTTTCACTTCTTCCCTTCCACAAACCCTTAGCAGGGACAGGATTTCTTCTGTTTTCTTTAAAGATGTCTTCAAAGCTTCCAGGATGCTGTCTCTGAATGAAATGAATAGTCTATACTGCAAGACATGTTGTTTTGTGAATTTACAGGCTTCCTGGCTGTAATCAGAGGGGAACCCTTTCTTGATGACCTATTCAATCTTTGGCCTTTAGAATTCAATCCAGACAGTAACCATTATAACAAGTTTGATTTAAACTACTAGCTCACCTCTAAGCCACAGTCTTCACATCTGCTTCTGACTCCCTTAAAACATTAAATGATATGGTAAGCCGTTTCTTAAATGTGAGAGTTTAACAGATTGTGGTTGATTTAAGATGTGAAAATATTCTGAGAAGTTTTAGCCATCTTGAATAAAACTGTGGCCTTATTTCAACCTTACTTCAATTTTATTATAGCTGGCATTTAAAAAATTAGAAGGTACACTGAAGGGATGCTTATCACCTTGAATTTTACTAGCAGATTCAAAGAGCTTAGTTCTTTCCACAGTAAGACAGACATAAGTCACATTGTTATATTGCAAAACACTGACAATAACTCACCCTATAGCTTACTGTCAAGAAACCCAAACAACAGCAAATTTAAGAAAAGATTCCTCCTCACCAAAACTTATTGCTTTCCTTTCAACCTGAAATTATTTTTGCAGTCTAATGTGATGGTACTTTGCTTCCTAACCTAATTGTGTCAGGTTGAAATATTTGGTCACAAATCAGCTTCCCAGAGAAGATCACTTTATAATGAACTGTCATGAATTTCTCTAAAAGAAGCTTTGCTTAAAATAACAGGAAAAAACATATTTTGACTCGCTGTTTTTTGGATTATCAGTTGGATCTTTTCCCCTGTCCTCATCAGCTGCCACTTCATGGTCTATTCAGTTTCCAAATGAGAAACATTTGTCCTTAGGCACCATGTGGCAAGTTTCTTCTATGCCATTTGACCTCTTACTTCCTTACATGAAATACTTTACAAAGCAGAAAGCTACTTACACACACACAAAAGTATCCTTACGTCAAATCGTGATGTCAATCCTGAAGAGTAACTCTAAGCATAATGTCATGAGCATAACCCCATATCTATCTAGTCTTCTGACTACATATTCCATTTTATGCAGGAAGCAAAACAGAGCTATGTGGCAGCTCTGGGACATTTTAGAAGCCCTGATGGTATGAGAAAAGTCCTGATAAGTAGAGCAGCTTTGGCACTTTTCAATTAAATCCTTGACAAATGAATTTCTCTGGGATTATGCTTGTTTCTTTAATAGTGCCCACAAAACTGGAAAGTGAGTTGGTTTTATGAAGTGGAAGAATTAAAAGTACGTTGCAAATGGCCTCTAGAAGAAAACACCTTCAATCATTTGTTTCAACTACACCAAGGTTGCCAGTTCTTAATGGCACTCTAGGGGAAGGCACTGTGCTGGTAAACACATTCAGGGCCTGTATGCACTGCATCTTCCTGAGCTGAGAACAGAAGATACAGAGAATGCACTCTTGAGGAACTCTGTCACTGTTGATTTCTGACTCTTGGCCCAAGCTCCTAATCTTCTGGTCAATGGGCTTCTGTTTTCAGAGGACAACTTCAGCTTAATGTTGATGCATCAAGGCGACTGGAGAGGTTGACTTTATACATCTTGAATAGAAGGGGCACCTGATTCATGGTTGCGTTACATGGTTCCATCCAGATGTTAAGACTCTCTGGTCCTCATTGGTGGTTTTTATTGCTGAGACCTCTCACTTAATAAAGTCCCATCTTGGCTTCTAGCTTTAGAATACTGTGTCTCATTTTTCCCCAGGGTTTCCCTCCTCCTGCTATTGGCTATTACTCTCATCTGCAGCAGCTGCTGCTTCTTATTACACCAAATGGACTAGCTTCAAGGAAATGTCAATGTGCTAGGTGCGCTTGTGTTTCTTCCTTTAATGAAATACTCAATTAAAAGTACTTTGTGTCACATGAGTTTTCGACGTTGCTATTTGCTTGACAAGATGAAGCAGGCAAGAGGTGCGCCCTCTGGTCTTCTTCAAGAGAGAAGACTGAGGAATTTTAGGGATGAATTGACTTCTTATCCATTGAAAGGTATACATTCAAGAAGACTTAAAAATGCTAAGGACTCATACATAAAGGCAAAGCCCTTAATATGAGACTTACCCCCGAGGGGGGCTTTTAATCCTCAGTCAGCCAAATATTCCCTATTAATTTCTAGAGTAGTAGCTTCCAGGGCATTTTCACTGTCACTGAAAAGTAGGTAAAGAGGCAAGGAAAAAGGTTCACTTAGGGCACAAGTACCTTTTCTTTAAGATTTTCCAACATTTTTTCCACCTGTAACTTGTCATCTTTGAGTTTTTCAAGTTCAGCTTCTTTCTTTTTGTATTCCTCTTGGACTTTAAGTAAATGCTACAAGAAAGACCAAAGACAATCAATTTATTAATTAAGGAGCCACACTTCATTTAAATTCCCTGGCTGAAGTTAGATATCAGGTGGGCCTGCCTCACTTTCCTCCAGCACACACGACCATTTTTCCCTACAGAGATTGGGAAAATCACGATGCTTTTGACTTTACATTATTTTATACGGCTTTTAAGAAATTCCTTTGAATTTGTTAATATTTTAGAAAGGTCCTGAGAAACTAATTGATCCAGTCACTTATCTTCTTTCCTATTCTGGCCAGTGGTCAGAGTAGGGTGCAGTTAATACTGTGTGAGCAATGTTTTGATTGCTGCATAGAAGTAAATGTAATGTTTGTAAAGCATTCTTGCAAATAGCCATTTGGCAAGCCAAGTTCAATTTCTGTGAGGAAAGTAGTAAAGAATCCAAATTTTATGTATGTTAGTTTCCATATAAGTAGTCAGGAAGCTATATTTAGCATTATTAATAATTTCTTTTAAAACTATCATATCTTTTTTCATTTCTGGCATTTAAAAAATTTATTTATGTACCACATTTTCCCTATCCAGTACCATGGAATATTATGCAGCCATCAAAAACGATGAGTTCACGTCCTTTATAGGGACATGGATGAACCTGGAAACCATAATTCTCAGCAAACTGACACAAGAGCAGAAAATCAAACACCGTATATTCTTGCTCATAGGCGGGTGTTGAACAATGAGAACACATGGACACAGGGAGGGGAGCACTACACACTGGGGTCTGTTGGGGGGAAATGGGGGAGGGGCGGGGGGTGGGGAGGTGGGAAGAGATAGCATGGGGAGAAATGACAGATACAGGTGAGGGGACGGGAGGCAGCAAAGCACACTGCCATGTGTGTACCTATGCAACAATCTTGCATGTTCATCACATGTACCCCAAAACCTAAAATGCAATAAAAAAAAAAAAAAGAAACTACAAAGGTCAAAAAAAAAAAATTTTATTTATTATCCTTTAAGTTCTGGGGTACATGTGCAGATCATGCACATTTGTTACATAGGTATACATGTGCCATGGTGGTGGTTTGCTGCATCCATTGCCCTGTCATCTATATTAGGTATTTCTCCTAATGCTATCCCTCCCCAATCCCTCCACCCCCTGCTATTCCTCCCCTAGCCCCCACCCCCAGGCCCCGGTGTGTGATGTTCCCCTCCCTGTGTCTGTGTGTTCTCATTGTTCGTCACCCACCTATAAGTGAGAACATGTGGTGTTTGGTTTTCTGTTCTTGTGTCAGTTTGCTGAGAATGATGGCTTCCAGATTCATCCATGTCCCTGCAAAGGATAGGAACTCATCCTTTTTATGGCTGCATAGTATTCCATAGTGTATATACCACATTTTCTTTACCTAGTCTATCATCGATGGGCATTTTGGTTGGTGCCAAGTCTTTGCTATTGTGAATAGTGCCGCAATAAACATACATGTTCATGTGTTTTTATAATAGAATGATTTATAATCCTTTGGGTATATACCCAGTAATGGAATTGCTGGGTCAAATGGTATTTCTATTTCTATATCCTTGAGGAATCCCCACACTGTCTTCCACAATGGTTGAATTAATTTACACTCCCACTAACAGTGTAAAAGTGTTCCTGTTTCTCCACATCCTCTGCAGCATCTGTTGTCTCCTGATTTTTTAATGATCACCATTCTAACTGGTGTGAGGTGGTATCTCAACGTGGTTTTGATTTGCATTTCTCTAATGACCAGTGATGATGAGCTTTTCTTCATGTGTTTGTTAGCTGCATAAATGTCTTCTTTTAAAAAATGTCTGTTCATATCCTTTGCTCACTTTTTGATGGGTTTTTTTTTTCTTGTAAATTTGTTTAAGTTCTCTGTAGATTCTTGATATTAGCCCTTTGTCAGATGGGTAGATTGCAAAATTTTTTCCCATTCTGTTGGTTGCTGGTTCACTCTATTGGCAGTTTCTTTTGCTGTGCAGAAGCTCTTAAGTTTAATTAGGTCCCATTTGTCTATTTTGGCTTTTGTTGCCATTGCTTTTGGTGTTTCAGTCATGAAGTCCTTGCCCACGCCTATGTCCTGAATGGTGTTGCCCAGGTTTTCTTCTAGAGTTTTTATGGTGTTAGGCCTCATATTTAAATCTTTAATCCATCTAGAGTTAATTTTTGTATAAGGTGTAAGGAAGGGATCCAGTTTCAGCTTTCTGCATATTTATTGAGTGCCTAATATGTACTAAGCATTGTGTACAATCTCATTTAAGCCTTACAATGAACCCTATGATACTGTTATCCCTAAGGTTTGAAGAGGTTAAGTGGCTTCCCTAAGGCCATTCAGATAGTCGGTGGTAGAACTGGAATTTAAAACCAGGTTGGGTCTACCCCAGAGTTTATGTTCTTACATGCTTTATCATACTCTACGTCTTTTAAGATAAGCTGGGAGACATTTTATCATTGTTCACAAGGCATTTTTTCAATACAAAATAATCAGAATTAGTGAAATTAATTTTTAAGAGACAGAGACCTAATCCTCACTGAAGTCTCTGAAATGACGAAATAAAATTTCATCATTTTTGAATTGCATTTAAGTAGTAGAACTATCCTTATGTGAAATGGTTTGAAAATCAAAGAGGGGGAAAAACAGCAACAACAAAAATGTTTCCAAAGTCTTGCCCTTCAGAGGCTTGCAAAAGACCACTGGAAAGGCTAAAAAGCATGGTACAATGCCTACTGTGAAAGTTATTTGAAGTGTACGTGAGGAGGTGCATTTTTTCATAGAAAGATCTCTAATATAATTTACATGTTCTAATTAAACTCCATGGTGACAGTAAAAGGAAGGTAAGCATTATTTCACATATTTTGTTAATAGAAAAGGCAAGATATTAATGTCATATTACTTGTCGTACAGGAGACAACGGTGGCAGAAAGAATAAAATAGGGTTCCTAGTTCCAAAAAAGACTCCTGTTCATGATTTGTAATTTCCAACTGGCAATTAGCTTTGCCCTAGATAATTTCAAGGAATACAGTTAAAAACTGTTGCACAATTTAAGGTGTAAGGACAGTGGCTGGTGGTCTAGCATGACAGAAGATGCCAGTGCCCTTACTTGGAAGCAAAACTCCTTTACTGTAGTGAAAGCAGCTGTTGATATCTTTTAAACTGTAAGATCACTGTTGTGATGGTTACATAAAACTCCTAGATGTTGAACATCTGCTACACTATGTTTTCTGTGAATGCAAGCACAGTTGGGTACGTTTATTTACTTTACTTTTTACACTTTGAATTATGCACAGGTAAACTCATTCACATAAGTGACTATTAATGCAAAACAAAATAAAAACAAATTGGTATGAGCTCAAAGCATTAGCACTTAAAAATGTATAATGTACCTACTTCTACTCAAATCAAGGGTAGATTCCTGCCATTCCTTTTAAAAGGCTGTATTTCTTGGTATTCTATCAACTAAATACTTGTTCATCAGCACTTTTACATATTTAAATAATTGAAGTTCTTCATAAAGACCCTGGGGCCCTGTCTAGATCCCTAAGTACCTTCTGAAGCATAAAGAAAAGATTAGATTACATTCAGCATAGTTTAATGTTAAATATTTTTCACTGAATGCTCATTCTTTAAAAATTAACAACCCATTGCTATCCCTGTATTAACTGGAATATTTAATTAACCACAACACATAATTCCTTCCTCAGTCATGCCAGATAATATTACATCAAGAATAATAGGTTTGATATTCTATTTACTTTCAGGGGACCCTTTTACAGGCAAGAAGCTGATGCTATCCTACCCAGAAGCTCAGAAAACCAAAATGCCTTTACCTGTTGCATTCCTTGCAGGGCTTGCTGCAGGAGTTTCAGCTGCTGTTCTTTGTTTGGGTCATCTTCTCTGTGGGCTTTGCCTTGCTCTTGCTTGAGCAGCTCTACTTCATTCCGGTAGGCATCGAGCTGCCAACGGAGGCTGTCATTTTCTTCCTTCAGAGCTTCTGCCTGTGATACTAAGGCTAAACAATCAGTATAAAATATTAAACCGTATATCCATATTCATCTGTGGTTCATCTGAGTACCAAAAAAGTTGGTTCTTCCTCTTGATGAAGAATTTTAGGTTGGAGTTGGCCATGTCAGCAAGAGATGGACACAAAAGCACACAGGCCCGTTTTTATAAATGAACTAGGATTCCAACACACAAAAGTTCAAACCATGTTCCTCATTCTCTACCTCAAGTATAACTAAGATATTTCTAGGTAACATCAATTTCTTTTATTTGAAATGTAGGAAATGATACCAGTCCTGTAATAATAAAATATAGGACCAATTCCCTTGAATCAACAACTGCCTACACAATAATGTTGCTGACAGATGGTTTTAAAGAATGTAACACTGAGAAACTTAACCTTGGAATTTCCTGCTGCTCTGTAGCTTTGTATGAAGAGTCAGATTCTAACTTCAGTTACACTCATTTTATTTTTACTGAAAATGAAAAAGTGAGTAATGAAGAATCAAAGTAGTGCCAGAGGTTACCGGGCTGGGAAGCAAATGCTGAGGGAGACGGTTATAGGAGGCACACACATATGGGAGTCCGAAAAAGGAAATAGGAGGCACAGATGGAGTTGTGTTAGTGAATATACAATTGCATTTCAAGATTTCTTAATATGCATGTTTTCATGTACTTCTTTTCAAATAAATGTTAAACAACAATTTGAAACACACACACACACACACACACACACACACACACACACACACAGAACGTAACATTGACTTGTTCCACAGAGGAAAGGTAAATGTAAAAACTAAGACACAAGATTTCCAGTTTCCAGTGTGGTATGTAAAGATCTTTAGAAGCTGCCACTTTGTCTTAGTAACAAGTAAAATGTTGAATAACCTGAAAAATCAACAACTCTCTTTATATTTGCTAGAGAAATGTGGTCACAGGGCAAACAGCTGCCCCCAAAACTGGAGATGCAGACAGGTGAATATAGAGAATCACAGCTTACTGGACCAAAACCCCATGAGCATAAACCTCTATGGGAACCAATCCCGGGGTAGAAAAACCTAAGCTGTAATTAATGAATTGCTGGAGGCTCAGTGTGGACAAGTCTGTGCGTTAAAAACTCCAGAAGGACCCAGTCATTGGAGAACTCCCACACATTTGTAAGTTTTACCTCCAGGAGATATACCAGGTCCTTACAGTGAGTATAAGAGAAAAATATCCTCATGTTTCTGGCAGGGGAAGGGGAAAAGGAACCATTTTGAGATTGCAGACCATTCTGGTCTTCTTCACAAGGCCTGCCCTCAGGAAAAACTGTTTTATCAGAGCCTCACCTGCCGGGGTTTCAGAAGAACCTAACAGACCTGGGGGAAGATAAATATCCAACTCTAGCCCCCTCTAGCCATCCTGTCCCACCAAAGGTGTGTGTATGTGCGGGGGCGGGTGGGAGGGGGATAAAACAGAAGCACTGGTGAAGTTCACAGTTCAGGGACACAGGTTCACAAAAAAACTGAGACCTAACCATAGAACTAGACGATGCTTTCCCTCCACACCTTACCTCCACATTACTAAAGGGCTACTTAGAAGAGTTTCTTTCACCTAGTACAACATGCCCAGATTCTAACAACAAGTTACAAGGCATACTAAACAGAAGAAAACATGATTTTAAGAGTTACAGCAAACACCAGAACCAGACTCATATGGAAGAGATCTTGGAATTATCAGACTGAGATTAACATGCAATGGGGCTTAATGAAAACATTAGACAACATGCAGGAACAGATGGATAATAAAAGCAGAAAGAAGAAATTCGAAGAAAGAATAAAATTAAATATTAGAGGTCAAAAACACTAGTCAAAATGAAGAATGCCTTTGATGGGGTCATTAGTAGACTGGACATAGGTAAGGAAATAATTCCTGAGCTTGAAGATAGATGATAGAAACTTCCAAAACTGAAAACTTGTCTTAGTCCGTTTTAACTGCTATAACAAAATACCACAAACTGGGTAGCTTATAAACTACAGAAATTTATTTCTCACAATTCTGGAAGCTCGGAGGTCCAAGATCAAGGCGCCAGCAGCTTCAGTGTCTCATGAGGTCTTATTTCCTAGTTCATAGATGGTGTCTTCTACCTGTGTCCTCACATTAGGAAGGGGCAAGCTGGCTCTCTGGGGTCTCTTTTATAAGTGTACTAATCCCATTCATGAGGGCTCTGCCCTTATGACCTAATCACCTCCCAAAGGCCTCACTTCCTAATAACACATTGCTGATCAAGTTTCAACATGAATTTTGGGGAACACATACATTCAGACCATAGCCAAAACAAAAAGAAAAAAAAAAAAAAACCGGATGCTGGCGAGGTTGTGGAGAAAAAGGAACTCTTTTACACTGTTGGTGGGACTGTAAATTACTTCAACCACTGTGGAAGACAGTGTGGTGATTCCTCAAAGACCTAAAGGTAGAAATACAATTTGACCCAGAAATCACATTACTGGGTATATACCCAAAGGAATATAAATCATTCTACTATAAAGACACATGCACATGTATGTTCATTGCAGCACTATTCACAATAGCAAAGACATGGAATAAACACAGATGCCCATCAATGATAGATTGGATAAAGAAAATGTGGTACATATTCACCATGGAATACTATGCAGCCATTGAAAAGAATGAGAACACGTCCTTTGCAGGGACATGGATGTAGCTGGAAGTCATTATCCTCAGCAAACTAACACAGGAACAGAAAACAAAATACTGCATGTTTTCACTTATAAGTGGGAGCTGAATGATGAGAACACATGGACACATGGGAGGGAACAACACAAACTTTGGCTTGTTGGAAGGTGGGGGTGGGAGAAGGGAGAGCATCAGGAAAAGTAGCTAATGCACACTGGGCTTAATACCTAGGTGATGGGATGATCTGTGCAGCAAACCACAATGGCATGCGTTTAGCTGTATAACAAACCTGTACATCCTGCACATGTAACCCTGAACTTTAAATAAAAGTTGAAAATAAAAAAATACTTAAAAAATTACATAACAGAATATCTAAGAACTACTGGACCACTATAAAAGGTAGAAATATATGTAATGGGAATACCTGGAAGGAGAAGAAAGAAAGAAATAGAAGCAATATTTGAAGCAATAATGGCTGAGAATTTCTCCCAAATTAATGTCAGACACTAAACCATAGATCCAGGAAGTTCAGAGAACATCAGAGAGGATAAATGCCAAAATCCCTTAAGCCTAGGCATATCATATTCAAACTTAAGAAAATCAAAATAAAGAAAAAATCTTGAAAGAAACCACAAGGGAAACTAACACCTTACCGACAGAGGAGCTCAAATAAACATTATATCTGACTTTTTTTCAGAAATTGTCCAAATAAAAGGATAGTGGAATAAAATATTTATGGAGTTAAGAGAAAAAAATATCAGCAACCTAGAATTCTGTACCCTGTGAAATATGGATTTACATAAAGGAAGAGCATCAAAGAATGAAAAAGTGAAGGTAAAATAAAAACTTTTGGCCAGGTGTGGTGGCTCATGCCTGTAATCCCAGCACCTTGGGAGGCTGAGGCGGGTGGATCACCTGAGGTCAGGAGTTCAAGACCAGCCTGGGCAACATGGTGAAACCCCGTCTCTACTAAAAATACAAAAAATTAGCCAGGCAGGGTGGTGGGCGCCTGTAATCTCAGCTACTTGGAAGACAGGCAGAAGGAACCTGGGAGGTGGAAGCTGCAGTGAGCCAAGATCATGCCATTGCACTCCAGCCTGTCCAGAGCGAAACTCCATCTCAAACAACACAGCAACGCACACTTTTTAATTTTCTTCTTTTTAACTGATCTATTATAGCATATAACTTTTCAAAATAATAACAAAAATGTATTCGTTCATGCATAAATATGTATATACAGGTTAACAATCTGTAATCAAAATCCAAAATCTGAAATGCCCCCAAATCTGAAACTTTTTGAGCACCAACAAGATGATCAAAGGTCCTGTAATCCCAGCACTTTGGGAAGCCGAGGCGGGTGGATCACGAGGTCAAGAGATCGAGACCATCCTAGTCAACATAGTGAAACCCCGTCTCTACTAAAAATACAAAAAATTAGCTGGGCATGGTGGCGTGTGCCTGTAATCCCAGCTACTCAGGAGGCTGAGGCAGGAGAATTGCCTGAACCCAGGAGGCGGAGGTTGCGGTGGGCTGAGATCGCGCCATTGCACTCCAGCCTGGGTAACAAGAGGGAAACTCCGCCTCAAAAAAAAAAAAAAAAAAAGATGATCAAAGGTCATGCTCAAGGGAAGTGCTCACTGGAGTATTTTGGATTTCAAATGTTCAGATTAGGGATGCTGAACCAGTAAGTACAATGCAAATATTCCAAAATCCAAAAAAAGTCCAACATCGGAAAAACTTCTGGTCCTAGGCATTGTGGATAGGGCATACTGAATCTGTACACAGGCATGCCTCATTTTATTGCATTTAGCTTTATTGAACGTCATAGATTTTTTTTTTTTAACATATTGAAGGTTTGCGGCAACACTGTGTCAAGCGAATCTGTTGGTGCCATTTTTCTGACAGTATGTGCTCATATTTTGATAATTCTCTGGGTCAGATTTTGGTAATTCTCACAATATTTCAGACTTTTTCTGTATTATTGTACCTTTGACACTGATCTGTGTTCAGTGATCTTTGAACTACCACTGTAATTCTTTTGGGTGCCATGGACTGTGTCCATAGAAGACAGCAAACTTAGTTGGTAAATGTGTGTGTTCTGACTGCTCCACTGATCAGATAATCCCCCATCTTTCTTCCTCTTCTTGGGCTTCCTTATTCCCTGAGACACAACAATATTAAAATTAGGCTAATTGATACAACTTCAATAGCCTCTAAGTGTTCAAGTAAAAGGAAGAGTAACACATTTCTCACTTTAAATCAAAGCTAGAAGTGATTAAGTTTGTTGAGGAAGGCATGCCAAAAGCTAAGATAGGCTGAAAGCAGTACCTT